TTTTTTTTTCATTACATGCCTTGCGCCCAAACAATCCAATCTCGCCATCTTTACCGTCAGTAAAGCCCCCGAGCAACGCGAGGGGGGGGGGGGCGAGGGAGTCGATAATATGGAAAGTCGTTAAAAAAATTTTCTAAAGATGACAGAACTTTGGGGGAATACAAGCCTTTTTTTGCAAACTGTTGAGCGAAAAAAACGTAAATTTTGCCATGAAAAAACGAAAATTTGTCAAGATTGGGGGGTCACCCCCCACGGCCCACCCGCTGTGGGGACACCCTTTTACTTCAAAAGAGCTGGGGCTGAGCCCTCTCTGCCAATATTTCCTGGTTACGCCACTAGTGTCAGGATTGATGATGTATAAATCATTCTGAAACTTTCGACAAAGTTCAGAAGCATTTATTAATATAGCATGAGTTTTGGTCCATGTTGGGGTCTGAATGTGACTAAGGAGAAGATTACGTTCACACCCATGCTCAGAACTCAGTCAATGAAAACACATTTTAAAGTATTTGCCTGATTTTCTTGTTTTTTCATGAGAACCTATGTTCTTAGTCTGAGGTGAGAAATCGTCAAAAAACTTAAATCTCTGGAAACGGGAGAAAGCCGTTAGACTCCACTCAGTTTTTTGTACTGATTTCGCAACTACTATTTTGATGTCAAAACGAAAGACTTCAGTAGGAAAAATTTTGTATTGCTGGTAAAATTTCATGCTTTGAAAGTCTCAGCCACAGGTATGAGTTCCTTTTTTCTCTAGCGAAGTAATATTTCTGAAAATGAAAGCTATACTTTCGAAGTGCAATGCACGGCATTTACAATGATATATAAGTTAGCTATGCCATGACATAGAACAAACGAGATTAAATTTCATAAGAACTCATCGATTTGTTGAAATATCGCTCGCAGCTCATTTTATAATCCAATATCTTTTATAATGATAATATGCTTGATATGCGCTAAAACTTATTCTCACAGGCTCAGTTTTTATGAAGACTCTAAGCATACCAATTTTGGGATTCACATGAAAATGTAAATTCTTTTTGTATTCATAAAAATGTGAAAGCTTTCTACTATAAAAATGTAATTTTGGGGGAAATGCACTGTTCAACGCAATCAACAAGCTTCGAATTTTGTTATCGACAGTCTTTCACAAAATAACTAAAAAGCACATAGCCTTACTCAACTTATCGAGCTCTCTTTAACTATATTAGGAGAAATAAAAACAACCTGCCTTACTTTTTCAATTTTTGGCACCTAGGTACCTTAAAAATCTACGAATATCATATTAAAGTAGATCCTATATGGTTACAAATAGGAATCCTGTGGAGTCCTTGAAAGTTGCAGATATGATATCCTAGTGGCTAACGAAAAGTTACAGATATGATGTCCAGGTAGCTCCTGAATAATTACAGATAGTATGCCCAAGTAATCCCTAAAAAACTACATATAGTATGTCAAGATAACCTTGGGAAAGCTACAGATATCATGTCAAGGTAACCCTGAAAAATCTACAGGTACATGTTGAGGTAGCTCTTGAAAAGTTACATTGAATGGATATAATAGAATAAAAAATAATGCTAACACCTAAGCATTAGCATTGTTTTAATACTAATTCTAACACGATATTCCTATGACTAACAAAATCAGCTGCATCGTGTTTCATCTTTTAATCCTGCAAGGATTACGCTAACAGCTTTGTTATAGTCATAGGACATTTGAAACAAGATCTTGACGAGATTGATCAATTTCTATGCCATATGTGTATCGTCTAATAACTTAAGATTCCACGTTATCAATGCTATGTATTCACTTGTTTTAGTACTGTTTTTTATCCGCGCTAAAGTTACAGTTTGTTAGCGAGATAGATCTATAAACATTTATTTGAAACATAATAAATGTTACTGTAGCTATTAAATTACATTCGGAGTTCTAATCATATTTTTTTACACATAACTGTTAAATAAATATTGAAATATATAACAAAAACTTTAGCTTTTTTTATATGTCACAGATCGTTAACAATATTTTAATTTTCTCAAAGAATTTCATTCTAGAAATATTTTTTTCTTTCTGTGAAAAATGAGCACTAATAATCTATATATCAAATTCTATTTCCTTATTAAACTCACGACTGACAGTTCACCTTCGAAATTAGTACGAAATGATTTATTCTTATAAAAAAATATAAAAGATAATAATTATTTCTAATTACGATGTTTTTTAAATAATAAATTAAAATGAATAAATATGCTTTACATATCATCTAACGAGGGAAGTCCTCCAGCTGTTCAATCGAGGATGAATGCATTATGTGGACGCAAATAATCTATAAAGAACTGCAGCGTGATGAGATTTTCTAAAAAATGTCGTGGTGGATCATTTGGATTCATTTAAAAAATATTCTAATAAAAGTGCAGTATTTCCGTAGCAATAAGATAAGAACACGAACTCTTTTCAGGATATTCACAACTCATTTGAATCGACATAATGCACATAACCTGAGCTCAAAAGAGATTGAACAGTTGGAGGACTTCCCGTGTAAGACTAGAAAAAAAATTAAAATCTCTTTCTATTAGGATGCTGGTATTGTTTTGGATAAAACTCTTCATTTTATCTTATGGAATTATCTGAAAAAAATTGAAAAAAAAGGCTCCGTTAGTTATCTGTAAGTTAATCAAAATCGATCGACTGAAAAAAGAGTACAGATCAATTCTATATTTTAGTCAATTTATTACTCCATTACCAAAATTAAGTCTCCAACAACCAATAATGACAAAATCGAAATCAACCAATATCAAGAAATAATCAATTTTGTAATGTTGATATATTGTGTTTTTTTTTTTGCTTTTTCTAAATCATCTCATCATTTTCCTTGTTGTTTAGTTACAATTAAGAATACAAGAAGAAGAAAAAAAGTGAAAGATAATAAATATCAAAGAAATAAAACAAACATAATTCCCAAGGAGATTGAGCTTAAAAAAACGGACGTTGTTTCTCATATATATATAAATGTATGTATATATATATGTATATTAAAGCAATAACAGCACCATAGTCAATTGTCCAAAAGAAGCAAACAAAAAAATTGTTAGACACGTAGAGAGAAAAAAACATAGATGCATAGAAATAAAAAGTAAAACAAGACAATTTTGGCCAGAACAAAAACTAAAAACAAAAAGAATAAATATGCTATATTATGTTTGTTTGTGTTGTAATCAAAATCATTGTATATATATATAGAATAAATATGTCAGTAAGAAGAAGAAAAAATCATGTTTAAAACACGCTAGAAATTAAAGAATAAAGATCAACAGTATACATATGATTTAAACCATAAAAACAAAAATACATTTTTATTAATTGCTAATAGGAGGAGCTATTGTTTGAGATGATTCAGGATGACGCTCGATAGCTTTTGTCTCACTGTTATTGAAGCCATTACGACGATTTTTATTAGATGTTGGTATTGGACGTGAACGACGAGTATTTTCATTAAAATGTTGAGGATACTTTTGTTGTTGTGGGCGACGACGTTGATTTACAGCTGAAAAAAAACAAATTTTCAAAATTCTTTTTTTTTTTTTTTTTTTTTTTTTTATTACTTTGATAATTATTTGAATCATCATAATATTGATAAAAACCATTAACTGGTGGTGGAACATGAGAATTTTCATAATGATTAACATTATTATTATTATGACCATTGAAATAATGTCTTTGATTAGTTCTCTGTGGTAATGGTTGTTGTTGATTATTAGAAGACATATGTTCATTTGATGTTGATGATGCTGATGATACTCGAATATTATTTAATGGTGTTTGAATATTTTCTATAGATTTTTCTGGTGGAATTTTTCCTGTTGTTGTACTATTTTGTTCTACTAATGCTGATGATGATGATAAAGTACGTGTTCGATCATATTTTCTATCAATTCTTAACACTGTTCCAAAATTTTTCAATGCATCAATAACTGCTTGATCATATTGAAAACGATGTGATGATGTTAATTCTTCACCTAAATCATAACGACGATCAGTAACAAATTGTTTTACATCATTTCGAAGATGATCAATTTCTAATGGTTCAAGACGATCACAACGATCCATACGTTGACGTAATTCAGTAGCACGTTGTTGGCGATGACGAATTATATTTAAACCTTGTTCTTTAACTTTATCTATTTCTAAATATAATTCAACTTCACGTTCTTTAATTATTTCACGAATTTGTTTGAATACATCATCAATACGTTTTACAGAAGATTTCATTTCATTTTCAAATGATAATTCAACATTACTTAATGTTGATGTTTGACGTTGAAGATCTTTAGTAGATTTTGTAAGAACTAAAACAATAACAAAACACAAAGTTTTAAATGAAGTTCTTGTTTTAATAACGTTTTGATAGAAGAACTAATTTGACAAAATGTAGAATCATTTTTTCAGTCTTTTAAAAGAGTCTGTAGAAATTTGAAAACATTAACTTAAAATAAAAATTCTGTGTTTTTTTCAAAATATGGGTTCAACATTTTTATAGAACTTCTGATTTCAAAGTTATGAACCGATCTTTTAGAGGTTCGTAAATAAAATTAGAATGAACTTGAGAGCACCAAAACTTACTCAAGGTAGAAACAAAAATTATTTCAACTACACCGAATGACAGAGTGAACATTTCTTAATAAACTGAGTTAGTTCGAGTCATTTGTTAATAGTGAGCATTTCGGGCAAGGAATACTGTGTCAAAATTCTTAATTTCTATGGAAAACAGACTTATCAAGTGAGTTCGGCAATTAGAAAGCTGCAAGTTCATAAAAATGTAGACCCGGACCGAAAAAACTTAAACTTCTAGACTCGAATCCAATAATAAATTAAAGTTTGAACCTGCAACTACCTATTGGCTATTCCTGAATGATTGTTGTAAAGCTCGTAATTCTTATATCACTTTGTAGAGAACAATTTTGCCTTTAATTCTATGGAAAAAATCAGTGAGGGAGACTAATACTGCATAAAAAGGTCAATTCTTATGTCTAAACTTAACTAAAACGTCGTCTCATAACTCCAAAATCAGAAGTTCTACAAAAACTTTGAAGTCATAGTTGGAAAAAACACAAAATTCTGATTCTAATCGAATGTTTACAAATTTATTGCAGATTCCTTTAAAACACTGAATATTTTATCCAATTACTTTTCGATCACTGATTAATCAAACGATAATATCTTACGTTTTCTATTATTACTAAATGTTGTTGTATTCGAAGAAGAAGAAGGCTTTGTCACGGGTTTTGTTAATGTCGGGGTTGAATTATTCGTTGATTGTTGAATATCATTTGATAATGATTGCTGAGTTTGTTCATGATTTAATGTCATTGACGATGTTGAACCATTACGATCTCTTGTGCTTCGTCGACGTTTTGATTTTCCATTATGTCCATTTGTTTCATTTATATTATGATTATCTTGATCTATATGATTTGTTAATAAATTAATTTCATCAGTTGTTGTTACATTAGATGCATCATGAAAGTTATTTTCTGTTGATGCAATATCATTTACTAATAATTGTGAATCATTTGTGGTTGAATCTAAAATTTTAAATTAAATAAATAATAATCAATTCAAAAAAGAAAATTATTGTTTTCATTTTTACCGTGACTGAGACATGGATGAAATGAAATATCAGTTGATAGATATGTTTCAAGAGTATTATTCGATTGTTCATGAAATGACGATGATAAAGAAGTCTCTATATTAGATATTGATGTATTTCCTAAAAATGCAAACTTTATTTTTTATTTTATTGAAATCAATTTTTTTTCGTTATACCATTCGTAGTAATTGTTGGCATGCCGCCTTCAGCAAATGTTTGAAATATATTTGAAACCCGTTGTGATGGACGTAAAATGCCATTAGATGATGAAGATGTTTTGTTATCTCGACTAGTAGGTTTATTATTTGCTCGTTTCGTAGAATTCTAAAAGCAATGTCGTTTTGTTTTCTTTTAAATAAAAATTAAAAAAAATCTTATTACATTTCCACGACTATTGCTCATTTCAATCCAACCACTAAGAGCTTCAATCGCTCCATCTGAAAAAAAAACAAAGATTATAAAATATTTATTGAAAACAGAAAAAAAACTTACTTCGTTTAAATGCTTCAACTGTTTCATCCACATTTAATTCATAATAATGTAATGCAAGTTCAATTTTTTCACGTGGAAGATTAGATAAATGGGGTAATTGAGAACGGACAGCAGATACATTATCACGCGTGGCATTTTTTCGTGGCATTATTGTTTCGTCCTTTATATCTTTTCTTAATCTTCAAAAAAGAAGAAGAAAACTAACAATCACAGACAAAAATACTAAACTTTTTTGCTTCATATTCCTATTAAATTGCATGACAATATAAATATTTATTATTATATACTTGTTTTTGTTAATAAATAATCTCTTGGGTATTTTGATGAAAATGAAAATTTTTCTATTTGCTTTTGTCTTTTTTTTATTAGAAAATAACATGCAAAAAGTAACTCTTGACGCAGATGCAAACGTTTATTGCAAAAGAAAAAAAGAAAAAACAGGCCTTCTATATTCTCTTTTTTATCAACAGAACAAAAAACATGTTTTTCTCGAAAGCAGCAATAGCATTATCAAACAACTTGTATTATGTAATTGACGACAAGACAAATAGATAAAATAACTAAATATAAATGGTAACTTTCTTATATAATAAAGAAATTACGAAAAATTCTCTTTTGTACTTCTTTCTTAGTTTCTGTTTTCTTATAAAAAGAAAGAAAAACTTTCAAAAAAACTCAAGGATATATGATTATATAAATAAAATACTTGATTTTTCGTTCTTTCTTCTTTATACATTAATATATGTCAAAAGAATGTATAATATTCGAGAAGAAAAACGATATAAAAGTACAATCTATAACAATGGTATACAACTGTGCTATGATGAGTACACAAGTTGACAAAATCATGATGACAATGACATAGTGATTTGAATAAAAGAAAAAAAACCAATGAGATCGAGTAGGTGGGATAGACGCTCTTTATGAAAATAACAAAAAAAAACATATTCAATTCTTTTTTTTTATATATAAATACTTTCCATTGTGTTTTTTTTATTTTTCTTCATTGTGATGGACCACTTTGACACAAATGCTAATTTTGATTGATTTCAAGTCAAAAAAAATAGCGTGGGAAACAAAACAAAACAAATATTTTATTTATGTATTGTCTATATTTGATTAAAACTTTTTTTCTTTTTTTGATAAAAAAAAAGGCTCTACATCTTAGTCGTGTCTTTTCTGTTTTTCTCTCACTATGTATATATTCTATGAACCTGAACAATGACGAAGAAAAGAAAAAGAAAGAACAGAATCTGTCAATAAACAATCATTTTGTTCATATGAGAAAAGAATAGGTGGCAAGATTATGTAGCTCAAAGTCAACAGAAGAAATCGACATGCGAACAAGTCCAGAATATGTACCAATACGATGTTGAGACGCTCCACTCTGTGTAGTTATGTATCTCTTATTCTTCTGCTTCCTTTTCCTCTTCCTAGTCGTCGTCTAAATTGTAACTATAGACAGACAAGAATGTAAATATCGTCTTCTCTCTCTCTCGCTTCAGTTTGTACGCCCTCAATCGATATAAGCCATCACCGCTAGTATCTTAAACATACTACCATTATCATCTTTGCCTGTATATAAAGAAAGAATGCAGTTTTTCTTTCTCTCTCTCTGTCTATCTCATTCCTCAATACTTTTATTCCTTACTAAACAAGATTACTAACAAAATACCTTTGATAATAATTTGCACGAAAAAAAAACTTAATTTCAAAAACAAATGTAATTATATTTATGTCAAAACTTATCTCTATTTTACTGTTTTGACTCATTCAAAATAAATAAAAAAAGACAAAAAAAAAGTGCAAAATGATGATGATATAGACTGGCCAAGATAAAAATCTGCAACGACATGTCTACTAAGTAAAGCTAACTGAAAATAAAATACTCACAATCGATGAAACGAAGGTCAATAATATCAATTGTCGATTTACTTATACCATAAAAGAAAAAGTCACGTCTTTCGAAGAGCAAGAATGAGATCGAGAAAGAAAGAGAGCGAGAGAGAGAAAAATCAATATGATTATTCTAAGACCGAGACAACGCTCATTTTTTTTTTTAGACAGACAATTAACCATAAACGAGAACGACCGAACGATCAAGCAAGAAAATAAAAAGATCTTAGTAGAAAACAACAGATTACGCAATTATCAGAGTAAAAACATACCAAAGGAATGAAAAAAAAAATCGCTACTTTCATATGTTTATTCGTTTGATGTCATATACGTCATCGAATCAGCTAGCTTAAATAGTATAAATGCTTTAGAGAAAGAGAAAAAAAACAGAGGAAATCATCTTAATTTTGATTTGTAAATTTTGATTTTATATTATTTACAATTTAAAGTATTTATTCTAAAGAATTTCATAAATTTCAAATAATTTCTAATTCAATTTTCTAATTTATTACAAATAATCAAAATTATAGATGTCATTAGTATAAAGTATTTCAAATTTTAAAGGTAGTTGCTTAGCGATGAAGTGTAGAATTATATAGTAAAAATTAAGAAGAAAACAATTTAAAAAAGAAAACTATATACGATTATTAAAGATGCTCGTCGGCGGGTATGATTCCAAAAGTTAATTAAATCATTTCGATATTCTTATTTATTAGATCATCTCGAACCTATCGTGAGCAACAAACAATGCACAATAATAATCAACAAACTGAGTATGTAAAAGAAAAATCAAAAAACATTAATTAAAAAGAAAAAAAAACATAACTGTAAACTTCATGTGTTTATATCGATGCAGAAATCTGTTTCTTCTTTTCGAGATCTTCTACATATTGAGTTAATTTAATCATTTCTTCTCATAAAACAGAAGTAATTATTATTGTACCACATAATGTCAACGCATGCATATTTAGCGTAGAGAATATCAAAAACAAATTTTCTTCTATTATTTATAATTATGTTATTGTTGATTTTCATAACCTATACATAAAAAGGTCCTTTACTCTATCTCATAGAAATTCTTAAAATATATCTATTTTTAATAAATCAACCGAAATGATCGATTATTTTAAACATTAGATAATCAACGATATTGATTATAGAAATTTTTTATTGGAAGCTATGTCTTCTTATTAATAATTTTAGTACATCAATGAATGATGATCTACTTGGTAATTACCTTTCTCAAGATCGAAACAAATTGTCATCACGAATAATTCAAGAAGTTGCTTCAAGTACTATTATTGAAAATTTAACAGCTGAATGGTGGACATTAAATTTATCTCAAACAGTTATTAATGATTTACTTGAAAATCTTATTCCATTAGTAGTTTTAGCTTGTGAAAAAGTTATTAATGAAGCAGATGAACGCCATTTAATTGAAACAACAATACCAGATCGTTCGTTTAATCCAATTAATCGTTTAGCATCATTTTTAATGCGTAATAATCCAAAATATATGCATTATTCATCATTATCACCATATCATTATTCAATGAAATCATTATTAAATACAAAAAAGATTCAAGTATTAAAAGTCTATGGTGAAGAAGAAACATTATTACGTACAATACTTAAACAAAGACAAAATGAACGTAGTCAACAATACGATAATATTAGTAAAGAAGAAGAACGACGTAAAAATTTACTTAGAACACTCTTTTTTGATTGGAATGTACCCGAAAGAGGATGGATTCAAACTAGATTGGTAATTATATTTATTTTGAATATTAGAAAATAAGAAATAGAATAGAATATTTGAATAAAATATTGCAAATATAAATATTAGACTATTAAAAAGAAAGACTTTACTTCTACTTATATATATATCGAATACGAGAAAAAGTTTTTCATTATTCTTTCAAACTATGTTAATGTAGTTTATTTTTTCAAAGTCTTGTTTACTTAATAGAGATAAATTATTCATTTTGACAATGAAAAACAAAACATTATAATCGCGGACCCATAAATAATTAAGCTCTCAGTATTTTAGTTATAATTTCTTTTTCTTTTCAACTCTGAGACCTGATTGTTTTTTTTTTCAGAAGATATGCAATCAAATTTTCTACGAAAACTTAATGAAACTTATTTTTGATAAAAGTTAAGGAGAGAAATCAATCGAAGAATCTTCAACATATAGAAGCAGACTTAATTTTTAAGTTATTTTGTTTTATAAACTTCAAAAAATATTAAACAACTCTATTGACAACGGTACATAAGAAAAAGTGTTCTTGAATATATTGAAATGTGATCCTTGTCATTATGCAGTCCAATATTCGCACAACTCCAGCAGAATATCGAAAGATCGAACGTTCTAAAACAAAAATCAGTTGAAAATTATCCAAATGCGTTATTTGCTTACTTTTTAGTCTCCTGAATCAAATAGGAAAATCATTCGATAAATCTTCACCACTGAATCTGCCATAGGAATCACATCATATCGAAATAAAAAAGATCCCGAGCTCAAAAGAATGCTGAACATTTCAGAATAGAAGATACTAGGCAAGTTACAACTAGTCCAATAAACTAATATAATTGAGGAATTTGCTGATGCAAAGTTTAAAGTTGAAAGTCGATTTTCACGGAGCTAAAACTTTTTATTGAAAAATCCAGTAAAATTTCGATAATTCGAGAACGAATAATTGAAAAAGCAAACAGCTCTAAATATTTCTATCATGCACTGGTACTCATTAAATGAATATCACCTTGGTCGTAATACGATTTGATACCTAGAGAGGTTCTCTCGTTATCCAACGTTAGTCAGGAGCTTCAAACCAACAGATTGATAATGTTAAATGTTTTTTTTTTCGAAAGTCATAAAAAGTGGGAAGGAATCGATGTAGGTGTCTAAAATGGATTTCACATTTATTCAACTAATACCAATTGATAGAACTTTTCAAGGGCTATAGTTGTATATATTATCTGTTCTTTTTTATTGCTCGGCTCAATGCAAGTATTAAGGCAGAACAGTTTTTCAACTTAGAAAATTAGCCTGCTTCTGTGTGTTTCCTATTCATCGTTCAATTTATCTCTGGAGTTTTCTTTAGAAATAATTCTGATCAAGTTTGTGTAGTGAATTAGACAGTACACCTTCTGAAAAGAATAATCACATCTAAAATTTGAAAAGTAAACAAAGTTATAGTCAAACCACGGAAATGTTCATGATCAGGTGACATACAGGTTCTCTAAAAAGTATCTGGACACCCTAATGTTTTTTTCATATTTCTGATTTCTTGTGAAATAGTTCACATAGTGAAAATTACCTTTATTTATTGAAATATTATGCCAACAGATAGAGCTCGCTTTGCTCGTTCTAGCGCTATGCATATAACATAATTTTGATGACAGAAAAGCGAGGACTTAATATATTGGAAAATCGCACAATTTCATTAGAAACGTTCCAATAATTCGAGATGACTATCAGAATTGCTGATTTTTTTTAAAGAGAATCTAGTTTGAAGTAAGGACTTTCGACTGGTAAAAAAAGAAAAATTTTATGCCTTGTTTCTGCTTGGTAAACCAAGAAATACGAAAAGACATGGGGTGTCCGGATACTTTTTGGAGTACCTGTAACTTACGAGAGGCGACTGGAGCGTGATGTCTCACTTTGCCTGCAGTGATGAGTTATGCTTCTGTTCATGATTTATGGACCGTTCGATATTTATAGAGTAACATCTATCTAAATACAATTTTATATTGTTTTCATCTAAAAAATCATTAGCAATCAAGATTTTTTGTAATATAACGTTATTGCCCAAACTTTTTCAAATGTTTTCAATAATAATTCTTAATAAAATTAAATAAGAAGGCTGATACCGATATTCATCAAGTATCGATTTTCAAAGCTGTAAATAATTTTAAAAAATGAATATGGAATATCGAACAAAATGTTATTTATATGAATGAAGAATGTTTTCATTTATCATGCAATCTGATATCTGAATGTATTTTCTGGTGCTACCTATAGTTATGATCTTTTTGTAATTAGCAACTGTACTCATTTGAAAGTCAAACTATACATAAATATAAACTGCATAGCAAATACGATAGTTTTAAATCTAAAATATATTTAAGTATTATGATAGAAAAACCTATTAATATTAAAATGATTTAAAAAAGAAAATAAATAATTATGAGAGTATTTTATTTAGATAAACAATATGATTGAACAATTCAATGAGATGCCAAAATCAAATGATTTAAATTTAAATATATCTGCATTTCAATCACATCGAATGCATCTTGGCACGTTTACTGAAGTGTGTGTAATTAAATTTTAATTGAAGTTTCATTAAATTTTATTTATTCGATAGAATTTTCTTAACGTTTTAAAAAATCAATCATCAGAAAATTTTGATTCAATTATAAATGTATGTCGTCATTGTGCACAAACATATTCAAATATTGTTCAGGAAAATGAACTTAATCTTCTATTACAACGTCTTTTTAATAAATTAGATGATAAACAAGTATTGGAATATTAAGTAAATGAAAAAAAAAATAGAATTTTATTTTTTTCTTTCGTAGAGTGGCTATCTTCTTCGACAAAACCTTATGAAAATATTGCAAGCATTTTATAATGCTTTGAATGATAATGATAAACAATATGTTAATCAACCAAATCAATGTAAATATTTATTTATCTTAGATTTTTGTTTAACAGAGATTCTGTTTCAAATTTATAATCTTCCAAATGTAATTGATGCCTACTCTATTCAAACGAGCACAAAACGAGAATCGGACAATTGCTCTTGGAGTCACGTCACTGTGGACTCCAAACCAAGAATAGCTAAACTTTCAGATCTAACTAAAAATAAAACTTTAGAGCTGGACTCCGTCCGGATCTAAATCCCATTTTTTTCCATCAATATCCGGCACCCTCTGTGTATATGAACAAGTGAAAGATTAAATTTTTAGCTATTTATTGGTTACTGTCAGGAAACAATGTCAATATACAGTTATTTCTTATTGTTCACTTTTTCATCTCTCGATGCTTAATAAATTAAAAGGTTTCACTTAGTTGAAACGAGCATTATGTTAACAGAAAAAGGAAATTCAACAGTTAATTGATCAACAAAATTCGTCATCGAAAATCGGCAAACTACCCGTAGCGTCAAAATCTTTAGCTGTATGAGTCCATATTTTCGTGGATCCGGACTCGGTCGATCCCGAATCTGGAAGGATCGGCAGGTCCATAGTAGATATTGATGTGGATACTGATCCAGGTCTTCTTTTCATTCACAATCATATCTACACACATGCGAGCAAATGCCCTAAACTTGCGCAAAATAGCAATGTAATTGCTTTTCGTTGTTTAGTTGGGGCTTATTTAATGTACCTAATTTCGTTTGTTCTACATGTTTTCTATTAACAAATGAACGGGTTTGTTTCGTGAACCGAAATATATGTACACATGAACATTAATAAGACACAGCTGTTCAAGAGCTAGCGAATAGGTAATAGGTATACTATAATACCACTCTGTTCGGCTTTTTCCTGTTATGGAGTTATACATAGTCTAGAAACGAAACAATGTAAATTTTTATTAAGGTAACAGAAATATAGACAAATCTTTAACTGAAAAATGAGATATTTGACACAGCTGATAAATGATAGTCGGTTGAAATTACGTGATCTCTATTAACGTTCATAAATTGCCGATGACAGATGAACATATGAACGAGAAAAGTATAGAAGTCAATTTTTGGTTGATTGGTAACAATCATAGCTCATATCAAAGTTCTCGAACAGCTTGAAAATTTAAATTTTATCGAATCTTGTGCACTTTTGTGTTTGTAAGCGAATGAAATCATAGCTACAACATAAAAGAAGTTGATCGCAATTAAAAGTATCTTCAAACTTTTCACTTGCGAATTAAATTAAAAGGCCAATAGAGTACTAGTCTGTGGGAGATGTTTAATAAGAGTTTTTTTTCTTTATTAGGGCCTGTTGTTAAACAAACAATATTAAATAATGAAAATAAATTGAATGAAACATCATCAGAATCCGAAACAGTTCAACAAGAAAAACGATCTGGATCTCCAGTAACAAATGAACAACAAATTGCATCCTCGATTTCAACTGATGTAACTGAAAAAATTAATGATGGACAAGAACAAATAAATGATGAACAAAACAAATTTAATATTGAATTAAAACATCCTTCAGTTTGTAAGATTATTCTTTTGTTTTTCTTTGAAATTCGAATATGTTTTATTTTTGAATAGATGAAGCTGAATTTCGTTTTACAAATGAACAAAAACCAATATGTAAATGAAAATTATGATTCTTTTTCTTTTTTAAATAATCCGTTTTATTATTTTTGTTTATTTAAAGATAATTTAGAGCATTTTGATACAATTGATCATGAAAAATCCATACGATTTGATGAACAACTAATCGATAAAATACAATTTAGTGCTCTATTAATGTCATTTTTTGGTTTGAAAAAAAATGAAATGGTTATATCAGCATTAATTGATTATTTTCGATCAAATTATAAAGAAACAAACGAAGAAAAAAATGCAAAAACGATTCTTGTAAATTATGAACATATTTTTGTTTTTCTTTTCATAGATGACCCGCTACAGAAGTTTCTTCCCTCGACTCTCCTAAAAGTTATAATTAAATTTCAAGTATTCTATTATCATGCATAGACATATTTAAGATTATCTGAAAAGTTTTATCTCTTCAGTTCTATTTTCTCATTTCTTTCATAGTAGTCACATACCATTGTCGATTTGAATTTGAACTGTCTTTGTGTGAAGCAGTGTTTGATTTTTCATCCACTGATAGGGAACACGAGCTGGGTTGAAATCTCTTTGAAACAAACTTGTTTTACCACTAGGCTTCATTTCGTCATTGATATAAAAGTTACACTTTTGTTTACAATCGTAGTGCGAATTTATTCGTGTGAGGGTTTAAATTTATGTTGACAATAGTGTGTGACTAGAGATGCACGGGACAAACTTTAGTTCCGTTTCCGATTACCGAGACTAGAAGAAAAACGTTATTCCAATCGGACTGAAGATTATGGTTAAATATTCTGTGGTTTTAAACGAATTATCTTATAAATCATATCAATCAGATTATAATTCAAGAGATATTACTAATTCAGGACTAAATAAACCAAAATAAAAGTATTGAGGCATTTTTTTTAGCTGTGACACGAATAAATTTGTGGAATAGTTTTCTCTAGATCGGGATCGGAATCAAAAAAAAATTAGTCTCGCACATCTCTGTGTGACTAATGTGAAAGAAATGAGAAAATACATGTACAAGTCTAGAATTTTGTACATAATCCTAAATGTGTCTTTGCATGATGATAGAATATTTGCATCTGGATTGTGACTTTTCGGAGAGTTGAACGAAAATGTTTTTTTTTGTAGTCTGCACTAAGTAGTTTAAAATAATTTTAAAAATTTATGAATAGGTACAACAACGTCTCATTGATACCGAACAACGTGCTCAAAGTGATTTACTCTTTGAAAAAATGAACACAACATGTACAGAAGCTATTAAACTTGAACCATTGGCAAATATTCTTAAACAATATAAAGATGGAACAGTCATTGAACAGATTGAACAAGGTATGTTGAACAAAATATTTATGAAGATGGAAATAAGACGAAGGAATGAAAGTATTTTACATTGAACAAAATCTTTAATCTTTTTCTTAGTCACAAAAGTATTGTTAAGTTCTGAATTTTTAAAAATAAACTTAAGAAAATTGATAATAGTTTCGAATACGAGACTAAATTAATCGATGAAAATTTCTTGATAATTATTTACAAATTGTCATTGAGTAAAAATGAAACATAGTACAATCAAGGCAAAAAAAGATATGTTTCTACACTATAATAGATACAGTTCTGTCGAGTCGGTGAATATTCTAGTTGATTGTCGATGGTCTTGCACACATTCGCTGTTACTGCGAATACCTGTTCAAGGTTGCGATCACTGACAGTTTCGATGACGTCCATCATTGTTCACATGATGCATGACTTAACTTGTTAGGATAGTCTCTTTTTGTTTCTGTTTTTTTTGAAGACACTGTCTTACTAGAAACTCTGTAAATGCCTAAGATACCTCTAGTAAATGACTTAAAAAATAGATCCCTTTGCATTTTCATTCAGCCTATTGGTGGAAAAATGTTATACTCTAATGCAATGTATTTCGTATGAATAATATGTAAGTATTTGATGATAGATAACTTATTTTTCTTGACAAAACTTCAATTAGATCAATAGAAGTTCTTTCTAATATCAAGAAGAATACTTTAAGTTTTAATCAATTCTAAACACAATCTTCTAAGCTTCACTCGTAATTCAATGCAGATTCAATATTAATTATTCATATAAAAGTTTTCTTTGTATTGTTGAACATTCAAATTAGTTTGTTTTTTTTATCTCGCTTTCTTTTACAAAAGTTCTTCAAACATATCAAGATCAAACACAATTGAGTAGTACACAATTTTATGAACTTGTTGTTAATATTTATCAAACACTCAATGAAACAATGGGTGGTGGCGAAAACTTCGATGAACTTCTTAAATATATTGATGCTCAACAACCACAAGTATTAATTAAAATAAACATTAAAATAATTTTTATTTATTTACATATTTATTTCTCTTAGTTAAATACATCCGATCGTACACGTATTCATACTCGTCATGAATGGTTAAAACGTATACGTAATATTCCATTCCGAACATTAGGTTATCTTTATAAAGAAGTGATGGATATAATACAAAAAGATTCTGAAACATTTAGTAATCAACCAACAAAACATTTAAGTATTTATATTGCTTTAGTGGAAAATGATAGAAATCAATTACGATATGTAGCTACAACAAATGATCAAACTGATTTATTATTAGGTAAAACATTACAACGTGGTACAGGCATTTCGTAAGTCTGAATCAAATCAAGTAAATAATGTGTTTTTTTTTCTTTTTTTTTTTTTTTAAATAGTTTTCAAATACTTGATGGTGGAAAATGGACATATATAAATCAAACAAAAAATCATTCGCGTATTAAATTTTTTAATCCAGATGCTAAAAATCAATCGGGTAGTTTTGTATTAATTCCATTAAAACGTTTTCAACGAACATATTCTAATGGTTTATTGGGTATTGATACAATACGAGACAAAAAAGAAAAAGCATTTGTTCAACATGAAGCACAATTTTATGAAGGCATTGCATCAGCATTATCGGATACATTTACATTTGTTGATTTTGATAAGAATATGATGAAAATTCTACATCGATTTACTTATTGGATTAAACAACGATGTTCAAATGTAAGTAATCAGTATAGATCTTTTTCTTTTTTCGTAAGTCGATCAAGATTGAACACGAATTAGTATTCTATACGTAAGCATTTACTAATACAGAAACAAGTCTAATCAATTGAGAAAGTATTTTAACAGAAGAAATAGTCGAAAGTAATGCAACATGCTAGGAATAATAGCCAATACTCGTCAGAATACAATCGAAGTAATTGAATAGTCTTCCACTTACGAGGGAACCACCCGAGGTGTCAAAAAGCTTTTGAGCTGAAATTTTGCCCGCAAGTAGGGGATGCATAGACTAGAAAAAGCCTAAAAGGATATGAGCCCAAGTTGGGATTTGACTGAGATATCGGCTATTTACCATAATTTTCCTATAGGATCCTACTTGTCCAATAAAATCAAAGTTTTGAATTTAGGCCTGAAACTTTGTNTCATGAGAAGTTGGAATGACAATTTACCGTTAACTTCAATAAGAAACAGGGTTCAGATTTCGTCAAATAAAAGATATATTTTTTTACACCGTCTGTCAGTTGAAAGGACGTAAAATTTGAAGCAAACCGCTATATCACATTTCATCCTACACTTCTTTATTTGATGAAATCTGAACCCCGTTTCTTGTTGAAGTTAACGGTAAATTGTCATTCCAACTTCTCATGACGAAATAATTGTGTGTAGCTCATGAGAATGAACATAATTTGGATTTCAAATATCACAGTTTTGTGAAGTAAGTCATTTCATACAAATCTAGAGTGTTTACACAAACTTTATGCCATTCTCGATATGCACATAAGATTTGACCAACTCAACTTTTTAGGATGGAATAACTGCCAGAAAAATATCCCTGGTGTAGTTTTTGACGCTCTTGGTAATGATGTATTGAAAATTGAAATTGGTTGAAAATTAGAGGACAAATTCGCATTTAGTCCAAAATTTCCGGCATTCGTTGAAAATCACTTATATTTTATCCTTTCCTGAAAAGAAGCTACAATAAAAAGTAGTCCACTATGTAGAGCATAATTTTCTCTTTAGAATGATGTGCCATGGAGAACATTTAGCCTTAAAATGGGCGCACACTAGGTCGTAAACAATGAGTGGTTGATCAATTTTGGAACAGTTCAAAAAGGGGTGCTGTGATTATGTTGACAATAGCAACGAAATACATCGACAGATTGACTTGAAATTTTGTATCTATATACTAGAGACGATGAGGTACAATGTGGCAAAAAAACAAGACCATTCTAGCTTATTCAGCTTTTGAGATATGGGCAAAACAAAAAAGTTCACTGAGGTGGTTGATCAATTTTGGTATCCACTGTATATATATATATATGGATAAATAGCAATCTATCTGTACAGTCGGAACGAAAAGAATCGAAAAAAACAAAGCGTTCATATAAAAAAGCCAACTGCATATTTTGATAGAGCACTATTGAAACTTCAGAAAAACTATTTTTCCTACACATTTCTCAAAAATAATATCGTCGCTGCAATGTCAAAAGCGCATATATCCATTTTCATGGTAGTCTGTCAAAGAATTTTTTAATTTTTCAACAGAATAGAATAAATCCTGTCCATATCGATGCAGCTCGATTAGATCTACCTAGTGATTTACTTTTGCGCGTCGGAATAAATGTAATCAAAGAAAAATATTATACCCAATATATTAGTGGAAAATTGATTATTTATGGAGTAGAGTATATTTTTTGTAGCATTTTTCCGAATTCAATAACACTTCGTTGCGAAAGGTATATCATTAGATTGGCGTACCGGTGGCGAGTCGAGTAGTGTATTATGAGTTCATAATTTACTTTTATTTGATTGAGTTATTCAACTTTTTACATGAAGGATCATTTTGCACGAAAAAATATGACGGTACATCTTACATATGATTTGCCATTAGCTCAGACCTGGAACTTGTCAATAAGTTGATTTTTTCACGACAAGTAGGAAACATAGAAAAAAAGAAAAAAGTATAGATTTCACGCAAAACAGCTAACTCGATTTCAAGATATTCAGATCACAAAATTCAAAATATGACAGGACAAAATGAACACATATGTGCCTTTTTCTGAACCTGTCCGGCCGTAACCATTCAAGATCTTAATGCAGTATGGTATTTATTTTCAGAAAAATTGTTCCTATCGATTATCTTCGTTCGAGGAGCGGTCGAAGTTGGCCAACATATCTCTGTCAAGAGAAAATTGTATTGTAAGATGGCGGGACAAAAATAGACAAAGTGTCTGTCATTGATATTTTGTGTATATTTATTAAAGACAGCTTTAATGAAAACTGAAGTCGGACTTCGATTCACTGCACTTTTTTCTATTTTACTACAATTAAGAAAACGTGAAAATAAACTTTTCTTAGTTGAAAAAATGTTTTGTCTTCGCCCGAAGATGATGCCAATGTTTGCGTTTTTTCATTGCCAAAAAGCATAGCTCGGGATGAGAATGATATAGACAACTGAAAATTTCAGAAGTAAACGAAGTCACTTAGAGAAATATTCTTTAAAATTTTCAAGTCAATCAGAGCCTCGAAGCGATAGATATTTATGATTTAGTATTAATGATGCAATTGAATGTATCTCACAACGATTCATTTCTATCGCTGTGATGATAATTGCGGTAATTTCTGAACTTTGCAACTGGTATAATATTTCTGTGAGAGTAATTTATGAAATTGGATAATTTATGAAAGAAATTTACTTTTTTTTGAAAATTTGAACACTACTGCAGTAGGACCATATTTATCTAAAATTTGTACTGACCGGGCCGAGCCAGTTCAAAAACTCTCGACCGGTGATAACCTTGGGTTGACCTCTATTTTTATTATTAAGATCCCTATAAGCGAATTGGAAATAACGTTTGTTGCAATGTAAGTATTCCCAAAAAGGCAAACAAAAAACCTGCAGATATTTAGAAGGAAATTTCGTTCTTAATAACAGTTTTATCATATGAAAAAACTTTGTGAACTCGTCAGTTTTTAATAGCCTGAAAATGTTTTCAGATCGGTTGAATCAGATTGCTCTGAAATTTAAACCGACCGAATCTGACTGGTCTAATATTTATTCACCAGTTACAACTCTGCTTCGAAGCCAGAGTCTTTTCCACTAGTGATGAAGTCCGTTATTTCTCATAGTTTTGTGTAATCGAGAAATTATTTGAACAAATTATAAGTTGCAAGTTTAAATATTTGATGCACAATTCAGCTGCCATTCCCAACGAACAGTCTGGCATTCAGTCAACATTGCGTCTTGTTAGGCGTGCTCTTACTGAAGTTCATTGTCTGCTATCTCTTCATATCGACTTGTTTCTACCGACTGCCTCGACTTTGAAGCTGCTCTCGACAAAACCTCACATATTTCTTTATCAGTAAACCTAAATCAAAAGGTGGTGGGTCTGAGTGTGGTATCGAAATTAGTAAAGTGAAACCTCATATCCGCGTCCACATCGTTTTAAAAGTAAAGTTTTAGCTACAAGGAACATAAACGTTTTCTATGTATTTGAATCTATTAGTAAATAAAATAATTAGTTACTGCTCATTGTTACTTCTTTTTTCCTGCATGTTTTGTCTTGGATAAATGGCCATTGTAAAAAATATAGCAAAATTTACGTGCTCTGAGCATCTTTGAGAGTTTTCGTAACTATAAACCATAGGATTATATGACGGTGTTCACTATAGGAACGTTCGTTTCCAATAAAAAAATGATAATTGTGACTTTGAAAAATATCTATTACGCGGAAGTGAACCCACGCTCCAATCTACAATTGAATTTGTCATGGTTAATCGTTTTATAATGGTTCCACTGCTCGTTAGAGAATTAGTGTTGTCAATTTAAATCCAGAAAAGAAATTATTTAAAGTTTTTGTTTTATTTTTATTTATCTAATAATAAATGATAAAACAAAAAAAAACACTAACAAAAAACAAAGCAATAAAATGCAAAAAAAGAACCATGACTGTCTCTGACTAAAGCATGTCTGTCTTTATTTCTTGTGATTTTCAATTGATTTTGTAGCTTCCTTTTGTTCAACATAAGGTGCTTCAATTTTCAATTGTCTATCATCAGTTAAATGTGATTGTAATTGATCAATTTGTGTACCAGGTGGTAATGTTGTTGATTTAAAGAAGAATGATCGTTCTGAACGATTTTTATCTTTCTGTTGATGTTCACCTTGAACAATTAATTCATTATTTTTAACTGATATTTTTATTTCATCTGGTCGATAATTCTTCATTCCAATTGACATTTCAAGTTGTTTTTGATTATTACCTTTATCAATAATACGTGGTTGAAAATCTGAACCAGCCAAAAATCCAAAATAATCAAAGAATGGATCACGATATTGTCCAAATTGTGCTAAACTTTGATTATCATTCTTTGCTTGAGTAACACGATGTTCTGTTTCAGGATTATGAATAGGTGCTTCGATTACAAGCATATTATTTGGAGTTACATATGAAGCTAAACGTGTTGCATCTATAAGAAAACAAAAAGACATTGATAAGTAGAAATGTTTTATACCGAAATTAAATTTCATTTATTTACCAGTATGTTCAGGTAATTCATATGTTTTTCGTAGTTCTCGAATATGATAATCACCATCTGGTTGACGATCTTCTTGTTTAGCTTCGACAATAACTTTTCGACCTTCAACTTTTGTTTTAATTGTTTCTGGATTGAGACCAGCTACATTCAATTGAACACGATATTTTTCAGTATTTGGTGATCGTGATGTTGATGTAAGATTTTTCTCATCATTTAGTTTGTTATTTGATGAATGTGTTAATCTATATGGTTGATTGATCCATCGAAAAGCATTTGGTCGAATAGATAGAGCTGATGGAAATGTATCAAAATCATACCATGGATCGAAGAAATCTAACTGATCACCAAAGAATCGATCAAATGGATCATCAAAAAGACGATAACGATGAATTGGAAAGAATGCCATTGGTTTGTAGAAAATGTGTGTTAAGAGAGTTTGATAATCGCAGTTGAATGTTCAAATATCTGATTAGATCCATGCACTCCCAAGTATATATATATATAGGATGGATAGTTGAATTGTA